CTGTCGTGGTACACTTCATCCGTTATTAAACCTTGATGTAGAATGTTTTAGGAGATTACTTGTGACTTGCAGAGTTCTATTTGCTATAACATGTCTGGTGAGTCGTGACTCGTGACTGTAACAAGCTTTCGAATCGCCCCTTTGTGATGCACAATTTGTTCATAACTGAATATTTTCTGGGGGAAATTGAAATTTATAACATACCAACACTATAGTAAAGGTTTTTTTTACAGTTGAAAAGAATGAAATCGATGACTATGCTGAAATGAAAAGTTCTAATCCGCAGAGACACTTAAATATTCACCATTTTCGTGCAATTTCGAGTTATGAAACGCACCGTTAGTAGTGCCATCAGGACTATCTGCAAGCAATTCCTTTTTCTTGTTCTCCTCATATTTTCCAGACAGAGAATCAAACAAAATTCCAGCACCAACTCCAACAGCCAAATCAATAGTGTAATGGCCCCTTGTACTCAACAATCTCACCGTCTGCAATACGTTCAAGGTGTCAAATAAATAAGACAATTTCCATCTCTGCATACGCTTCATATCCAGCGATGCAATCACTGATGCTGCAACATGCCCCGAATAGAACAAGAAAAACGACACATTTCCTACTGGAAAATCAGCTCCCGACCCCAGGAAATCCTACATTAACAAACCGGAAAAAAATCAGAGCCTTGAACAAGTAATGTGTAACACATTTCCTACTGGAAAATCAGATCCTACGTGAATGCATGATGCTTCGTGTACTGAAATTTTCTTTATTCTTGTTAAGGAACAAAATGGAAATAAGATACTTGTATACATTTATTGGTTTTTGCTTACCTCTGGTAATGGCAGCTGCGTAGAATATCCAAGAATACCTCTACATGTGAACATGAACAGAGTTGCGATAGTCGCTCTTGGTCGCCCTTCAATTAAGAAAGCCCATACTATGTACACCATTTGCATCCCAACAAACCCCTGTATGCATCGAAGATGAATCAATGAATTGACAAATTGTAAAACAGAACCAGAAAAAAATGTTATTAGATCTGGTATCAATTGTGTGACCATTTTATTTAAAATGCGTACCGTATTAAGGCCAGCAAGAACAGTGTTGAGAGCAGGTTTCGAATCAAGCAAACGATGCAGGGGACGCGTAGCAATGAATCCCAGATCGAAAGGCGGGGACGAAGATGGAACCATATGAAGAGTGTATTCCACGCCCATGAAGAAGAACAACGTGGTAGCGAAGATGCACGGTATAGGATGGTACTTCACCACACCGAATACATCCCTAGGCGTCAATCTCATGAAAAATGTATTGCTCAACCACCCTGAATCACCGAATTCTGAGGGCGGTCTTTTCTTCATGTCAGTAATTTTATTGTCGTCTTTCATTTCCATGTTTTCAAATTGGAAACGGAGCAATGTGATCTAGTGTTGAGGCTAGATGAAGAAGAATAACGAAGATGGAGATTTTCTACGTTCATTTCTGCCTTTTAAATTTCCTGGAATGAACGAAGACATGACGAATGGCACGATAATGTTACCAATAATTGTATTAATCCAACCGCATATGTCTTTCTCCGAAATGTGATTAATGGGAATCGGAGATTCCGAAAAGGATCCTTATTGAGGAAATCTCAGATCTGACTTTCAAGCTAAAATCACAAACAAAGAGGTGTTGAATATTTGATATGGAAGGAAAATAAGGAACTAATATGCAGATTTGGTTTACAAGGAATAAAAGGAGGCAATGCTTGTAACGAAGGGCTATTAGTTTAATTCTTATGGTAAATACTTACTATTCAATTACTCCCACCGATAATTTATACCAAACTAATTCAATTTACTATAATTATAAGTAAATTAAGTAAAAGTTTGGATTGATGACTTAAAATAAATCAGAGAAAATGAGGAATTATAGACCAAAATAAAAGTCCAAGTAATAAATCAATGCAACCGTGTCAATTGTCAAATTTCTGCTCAGCTATACCATTTGTCATCGACCACTTAGAATATATAAGATAGATTACTCTTTAACTAAATAAGCAATAATTTAATTAACTAAATCAAAATTAAGAACATAAACATTGTTTAAGAATAATAATGGAGTAATACTTTATCATATCATACGAGAGAGTTGCTCTTTACAAACTATTTACTTTATTTGGATTTTGATCCTTTGGCACATTTTTGAGCATATTGATTATTGAGCAACGTTTATGAATATATAAGACGTTGTTTTCTTCAATACATCTATATAGGTGACAATCTTTATGTTTGGACATGAGAAGTGTTCGTTAAGAATTATATGAAAGCTTAGACGAATAAGGAGAAGACGAAGTCACAAGTCAAAATTTAACAAGATGATTTGATGAAGAAAGGCTTCAAAGACATTTTTTATTTCGATATAAATTAGTTAGTAACAGAACGTTGTCAAGTTTCCTTTCGTATTGTCAATATTATCTCTTACCATCTTTTTTCTTCAATTTTACTTGTAGACAAATTTTTGAGCGAAATGATCATCATATCATTTGATAAACATATTGCATTTCATTTACACCAAAACAGCAACCAGAACAAAACGGGTGCAAAACAGTGTGGGTGTACAACAACTACACATTACTGCAAAAACTCAGTAAGATACCAGAGCCTGATGACTCTTATCATGTCAGTTAGGGATACAACTCCTTCCAGCAAGCCTTGTTCATCCACCACCCAAACACGATGCACATTGTCTGAAACAACTTTCTCCACCACTTCCCCGAGTGACGATTCTGGATGGCATGTCACTTGTTCCCTCCATGAAGATCTCATCCCGGTATTAGACAGCATTTTCAAGAAATCAAGGACCTCTAGATTTAGTAGAGGCTGCATTTTCGATACAGGACATCCTCTCAAGTCCGTTGCTGAAAATGTTCCTACAATCTTCCTCTTTTTCCCCTGCAAATTTCATGGAAAACAAGAATCATACTATTGTTAGCGTATATGAATTAAATTCAAACACTTACATTTACAAGCTGAGTATGATCTTCTGTTATTTCATTAGATGACTCCACAATTGGTACTGCATTTAGCGAAGCTGTTCTCATGCATTTGATCACATCGATAACTTTAGCCTTATTAGTCACACCGAAAACAGTGTCTGTGATTGCTTGCAGTTGTTTATCCGAGACCTTGTGCGACATGATAGCTTTAAGCTCCTGCTGGTCATTCAAAAACCTAAGCAGATCCATTTGTGTTAGCATTCGGTAACATGATGCAGACTCGGTAAGCTCAACACCAACTACATTTTCTGATCGTCCATTCACTGGTACCATGGCTCGATGTATGCCTTTGCTGAAAACTTCCATACAATCCACAATGCTTCACATATAAACCAGCAATTAGTAAGATACATTTGTGAAATTAGATAATAGTGACAACCTTGAATATCATCCAAAATAGCAGCAAGGACGTACTCAAAACTTCAGTGATTTATTGAAGTAATCATATATTTATTTTTTTATAAAAACCCTTACTCCGCCACTACTCATTCCAATCTGATAGATTAAAAGTAATTGCCAACAACATCCACTACATTCTAGAGGATTGATTTTGTAGGTCACGTATAATTTCTTGATTTTTTTAGTTTTGTGATCTCTTCTTCATTTTTACCCATAAGAAAACATCATTTTTTATTTTTGTAATCGCCAAGAGATCTCGATTCCTCGTTACATACCTTGTGTTAGGGCTGAGGGTCCACACACTAAGACTTTCAAGACAATGCCCAATAATCGAAGAAATAGGTACCATCATCTTTTTCGTAAGATGAGCATCATCATCATCATCGCCACAACCATTTCCAGCAATATGTGCGAGAATATCAAGCATAGTTACCATCCCTATATAATGTTTCCGTACAGCACCCGTCTGTTTATCAGCTTCTAAAATCATAGAACCGCCGGCACCAATCCACTGCCCAGGCGGTGCAGCCACTGGAACCGCCACCACCTTGTTAGCCATCAGAGTATTTATGGTGTCTGCCAGCGTGGCTGTATATGGAACCTCCACAAGTCTCCTTTTATCAACAATTAGATCCTTCACCTGCTTGTCTTTAAGCATGGGATGCTTCTGAGATCTACGGGGGCTTCCCGCCGCTTGTATCTCCGCTGTTGCCTGCATTTTGTTTGTATGAGTATTTTTTTTTGGTGTGTGATTTTTCAGATTTGGGTGAAAACAAATGGGAAGTTGAAAACCTGAAAGTGCACTAATATAGGTTCATATGTGGCTTAATACGTGTCAGAATTAGAGGATGGAAAAGAGAAGAGTGCCATTTGTTATTTTGTTTGCTACGTGGTGCTTGCTTCTTGAGCAATACACCGATCCTATCCATCTTAAAGGGAAGTTACTATTTCATAGGGTCGTTTGGTACGTGGAACTTTATCTCATAGTAATTAATTTGAAATATTATTTGTATCATGACGGTGAAATTAGCTAGCAAGGGTCTAGAGATTTATTCAAATTTTTTTAGTGGAATATCTTTTATCGTTTTATATATATATATATATATATATAATATTTATTTATTTATTTTTATATTTTTTTTTAAAATTTTGTATAGTTTAAACCTTTTAATGAAAATCGGTTACTATCACATGTGAAAACTTGAATAAATAATATCATGGATATTTTGGTTTATCCAATCCTACGTACCAAAACAGTTTTTAGAGCGTTTTTTATTATGAAAACTTGTTATTCTGAGTAGTTGTATCTGAAACTTCCATCATGAAGAATGGCAATTATCAAATATCATTTAGTTCCACCCCTAGCAGGCAAAAGAAACAGAAGAAGTACGGAACTATGATCTATATTTCTATGAACAAAGTTAGCTGCTATCATCTGCAAAATGAAGAGATTAGGAGTAACTTGGGTAAGCATCCAAAGCCTTAATAATAATTGAATTAGCAGTAACAACTTCGGATTGACAACCTGTTCAATAAACAAATAAGAATATATCTAAAGATCCTCATATTCGACAGCATATACAGACAGTACCATCAGTTAGACACCATTTAACTTTAACTGACCAGTTTCTCAGCCCTAGTTAGTGATTCAAAGTTAGACAGACGCACCGGTAGCAAAGTGAATGGAACATCTAGGTTAGGCTAAGGCTTTTTTTTTTGGTATCCAAGATGTTGATTGAGATAACCATCTTCTTAAAAAATGTGACCGCTTGAATTCTGGTTTAGGAATTGCATCCTCGTCTTGAAAATGACCAGTCATTTTGCTCTTCTCTTGGTGGTCAATGTTGCCATTATCTTCAACATTCACTTCATGAGCATTTGAACTGGAAGAAAAATGGTTAGGGTGCCACTTAAGTTCTGTTCTATGACAGATGAAAAGTGTATGCATACAAACATGTAGTGAGTACATACTAAATTTCTGTTATGTAACAGATAAGCAAAACATACACATATACAGTGATACATGTATTAACCCAATATGTGTACTGTCAGCAATTGAAACATCAGTTATTTGCTGGTTACCTGGTTGCAACTTAGCTCTTTGACTATCGACACGTCTCTCACTTTAGTTTAGTAGCGAAGACAAAATATCAGCCTCTTTTCATGGATAAGAGTCTTCCCAAAATTCAATGAATCTCATGTTACTAGGAATTGGGTGACTAAGTAGCACAAGATGGTTCACTAGCATCCAGACAAAAGAAAAAAGGGAAAGCAACCTGGTTTCATGTCTTGACTAATAGCTAACTTTATATTAAAATGTCTGATTGTGGTGGAGTGGGGGGGGGGGGGGGGGGGGATTGGAGCATCAAAATAACATACATATGAACTATGAAGGGGTATCAACTATGTTTTCAAGTCCGTTAAATTTGCCATCTACAGAAAAGAAAGGTCACAAATTTTAGGCATACCCTTACATAGAGCATTGTTTTTTTTGTTGATGAAGTAAGTGAGATAAAGCATTCAGTAGATGCAAAGATACAAAAGGGGGACATACATATAGAATTGTTTGGACTGGTCACATTGGCTATCCAGTTTTTGTTTAGCTGGCCTGTACTCCAACGTGACATGCTGTGCAAATTGAAGCTGCAGACTCCAAGCAAAAAGAAGTTAAGGTAAGAAACATAAAATGTAGTTAGTGTAGTGGGAAATCATTCTCGAAGTTCACAGGAGCATTATAGTTAGCAAGAGCTTGATTATGAAGCATTCAAATCATGTATGTGTATTTGACTGTTTGTGTGTGTGACTATATGTGTGTTTGTGTGCAAAACATAGAGTAGTGCTGGGTACATATCGAGTGTTCATTGCTTATTCTAGTAAACCGTAACTAGCAACATTTATCAATTCAGAGCACATCGAAAACAAATTTATATTGAAAAGTAAGGGTGAGGTTCCTATGCCTCAAATCCACATGTAACCTCACTAGGAAAATAGCCACCATTGCTGTCAATACTAGATGTTAGTACCTTATCTGAGATTCCACTCATATGAGTGTACCGTTAAATCGTCTTTCACCAAACACTTGAAAATATTTAACTTTCTAGCTTAGTTTTGTCATAAGAACCAGCTATAGATAGGCATAGAACCTTAGTTGGTTGTTCATCGATGAAGTGTGTGACCATCTCATCTAAAAATGTAAGTTGCTAGACAGAATATACTTATATCATTTAATTGTATTCTCAACACACCCTCTCACGTGCAGGCGTGGTTCTTTTTCATGGGCCAAAAGCACTTGGAAATATACGATCTCGGGACTCTTCTGCATGCTGATACCATGATGAAGTGTGTGACCATCTCATCTAAAAATTTAAGCTGTTAGAGAGAGTACACTTATATCATTTAATTCTTTTCTCAACACTCATTAATCAATTCTAGTTCAAAGATCCAAAAATATTATGGGGCTGAAGACAAAAAAAATTGTATCCTTATAGACAAATTATTTGCTTTAGTCCAGAAAATGTATATGGTTCTTCAAGCCCTGGCTGCATAAGAACCCCCACATGGCTATCCATCTAACAAAACTCATCAAATATAATACTATTTCCTTTTCCTCGTGTCAGTCAATTCGAATTGCAACAAACGAGTTGTTAGTCTACCACAAGGTAATACATAGATGTGTTACCTTGTGAAATTTGATTATGGAAAAAAGAGGTATTCAGAGTTAGAAACGAGCTGTATTTAGATTCCCAATCAGTAACAATACGAAAAACGACTGACCTGATCACCATCTTTCATACCAAAACAGTTGATAAAAGTTTTGTCATTCACAAGTTTTTGACTTCCATAGCACAAACAGAAGTGACTCCATACTAGTGACCTGCATCAATAGGCAATACAACTTTAAGATCTACCATATTCGCAGCAAGACAGAAGATCAACAATTCTTCAAATTTCAGTTTATTCCTTTTATTTTCAGCCATTCTGCATTAACATGATTGCAATCATTGCACCGAAAACTTCAAATACCAATTATCAGCAAGCAAGCTAAAGTGATGAAATCTTCTACTCCTATTAAATAACCAATTCTGGAATTTCCTTAACTATTGCAGCAACAAATTGTAGACTTTGAACCCATTCTCATAATCATATTATCACAGCACATCGACGGAGTTATTATTCATTTTTATCTGTTAACACAGTGCAACAAAAGCACGTCTCCAGTATGGTGATTGATTCCTTCTCGACAAGGGCCGGATCTAAGTCTTAAAATCAATAGATTAACAATTGGCAAAGTCTACTACAATAGCATGCCCCCTCGGCTAAACCAGTTACAAGGGCGAGATAATCCTCTTTTTTCACGTGGTATCAACGATTGTAGAAACAATTAGCTTTCATTCATACCATAGAATCTTTCCTTCATCCTCCCGCGAGAAATTGAAAGCTTCCTCAACTGCTTGTTTAAGGTCTGCTACTGTAGCATTCCTCGCTACATGGATAACTATTCAAAATTCCAGCCAAACAACCAGCATTAGCCATAATTATTCCAAAACAAAATGCAACAAAAATAAACTACTACTCCAGCATTTATCTAATTTTACCAAATGAAGAGCCATCCAATTTGAGGACGGAGATATTGAGTAGCTGTTCAGGGAGTTTACGGTAACCAAAACTCCGAACTAGTTTTTTGCTTAGCGGAAATGGAGTCCAAACCCTAGAACTCCGATTTTGCAACTGAAAGCAGGCTATGATCTTCACCATTATCAGCTCGCTTCGAAAATCCTTGCAGTTTTTTTTGGCTTAAACAGGGGAAGCAAGTGAGAGTGAAAACAGAAACTGAGAGGCTTTCGGTTTTTTTAAAGAGATGACCGTTAGCAAGGTCACGTTTTTTAAGTAGACGGACGAATTTATTTCAACACGCGCGGTCAGTTAATTCGCTTTTATGCGCGGGCGTATATTATCGATAAAAATAATTAGTGTTTTAATTATTCACCACTAATGTTCATATCAAATTAATTAATGTTACTTTTATTACTCTCTCTGTTCCAATTTATGTGATTTACTTTTCTTTTTAGTAAATCCAAAAAAAAAATGATACATTTTTATATTAAATAACAATTTAACTATAAAATATCTATTTTATTCTTAATGAAATAATTTATAGTCATACAAATTTCTATTATTTATTTTGGACTACAAGTTTTAAAAGTCTTCATTTCTTTCTTAAATTTCGTGCTGAATCAAACTATCTCACATAAAATGGGACGGAGGGAGGAAGTATTAGTTATGATTAATTAATATATGTTATTGCCTTAATATATACTCATTAACTATAATAAACAATAGTGATTTGATTTAACACTGACAATTCAAGCGTGGAAGGTGACAAAAAGAAAAGGTAGATCTATGGTTACTGGAAAAGTTAGTAGAGGAAACGGGCATTTGGCAGTTTGTTAAGTGTTCGGATGTGCCTTGAGAGAACATTTTGAAGAAAATTACTACTAGAGCAAACGATTTTGAAAATTTTGTTTGCCTCTCTAGATAACTAAATTTTATTGAATTTAAATTATATCAATCTAAATAAATATTGTGATTTGATATTATTTGATTAATTAAGTGTAATAAATATAGATTTAATTGAAGCTCAATTTCATTAGGTTAGTCCATCAATTGGGATATAAATGATGAGTCACATACCTAAGCTTAAAATATCATCTTATTCTAGAGACTCAATTTAGTGTGATATATCAAATGGCATGCCACTCCGAGTCAAACAAATGAATTAATAGATAAATCCATTAGATTTCAAGATGATAAACCCATTAGATTTCAAGATGATTAGAATCCGTTTTCAATTAAATTCTTTCAATTTTCAGGGAATTCATTGATTCTTTTAAAATTGTCATTTCTAATTTTGAAGTTATATGAAATGGAGTAATTGATGATACCTTCAAAATTTTAAATTTTCTTAGAAAAATAATTAGTTTTGTTATCAATAATTCAATAAAGTCTAGAAAATAGTATAAATTTTTTTTTTATAAAAAAACACTGAAATAAAGAATTTGACTGGAGAAGAAGAAGAAAAATAAAAGAAAAAAAATGAGAGAGAGGTTCAACTTTACGTGGGGGGTGGGGTGAGGGTAGGAGGTGAAGAAAAAGAAAGAAAATGAAGGAATGGATCACTTGAAAGTGGAAGATGGGAGATGAAGTGAAATTAAAAATGAAATCAAAATTAAAATAAATCAAAATATAAGAGAGAGAAATAAAGAAAAACTTATTGTCTTTTCATGTTTAGTATAGAAAAAACTTAAAAACAAAAAAACAGATCCCACATATCCTTATCTGTAACGTCCCACGATGAATATATCGGAAAGATATTCAAAAGCGCGACATTAGGCGCGTGTTTGCTATCCTCTTACCCGCCTTCCATCCCCTATCAACATCACACCAAAGTCTCAAGCTTATGCTACTCTCTCTAAAGAAAGGCCCCAAAAAGAAGGAATATACTACAAAGCAAAGTAGCGAACAAGAAAAACTTCCAATCTCAATAACCTATCCCCTTATCTCTTCGCTTAGTATCTTTCAAAAACCCTAAGTCCTATATCCCGATCACAGAACCAGATGAATTTATTTGATTGAGAAATTGAAGAAGGTGTTGCTGTAAAAGTTCAATTTGATTTGGAGATTATACAATGTCTGCGATGGTTTGCGGCAAGAGATCTTTCTTCGAAGATTTACAATCGCCGTCTCCGACTTCACCATCGACGCCCGTTTCAAAGAAGCTCCGGTGTTCCTCCACCTCTCCGAGAAGATTCTCGCCGCCGCCGCCAGCGGCAGCTTCCATTGATCATCTGAGAGCTTTGTTTCCCGATGTAGATTGTCAGGTATGATTCTCTTACTTTATCTGGCACTAGAATTTTGTTGCTGTAAATGTTCGTTAATTGGAGTAATTATGTACAGTGTGTTAATGCTTTTTTTTAACGTCATTTAGTTATTGTAAGTAAATTACTCTCTTGTATCGGAATGAAATGCTACGAGTAGAGTGGGATGAATGTAGATGACTTTGTAAGTGTTTGTCTGCAATAGTAAAGGAGCTCCGAATAGATTTGGATGAATGTATATGACTTTGCATGTGTTTATTATCTGCCATACTAAAGGATTAACCGGCTGGATGGGATGGGAGTTGGTTAAGCCTAAAGAATGTTTTTAAGCTCTTTTAGTTCATCAATATATAAGACATTATTTTCATCATGGAACATTTCATTTCTTAACTACTTTCACAACTTTTAGCAATTCAAATATATTGAAGGCTATTCAACTTTTAAACTCGTGGTGATGCATCTTTGTCAAACTAACTTTTAAACATTCATTCTAGTATGTTTCCTCCACGGTCTATACTACATATTTAAAAGAAAGTAGCTTCTTAAACTTTTTGCTAATACAAATGTTGTGGTGTAAAATGAAATGGAGAGTATTAGTTAGTTCTTTCACATGATCTGATTGCAACTTAATATTCTTTTCCTATAATATCAAGCAACCCTCAATGATTTCAATTAAATTTCTTGGTGGTCTTTTCTATAATAAGAATCTCAAAAGATGCAATCAATTATTACTTAAAAGGTGCAAAGATTTGATTGTTTATGTATTCTGTATTTCTGTTAAGAACTCTGTTGTTGCTTTTGTTTAACGAGTTTCTGGGTACGTACTGTTCAGTTTCTTGAGAAAACCTTGGAGGAATGTGGCAATGATTTGGATGTTGCTATTAAGAGACTGCATGAACTTCATCTTATTCATGCACAAGGAAAGTCAGTTTCCGCCTCAGAAGCTGATGGAGAGATGGACGGTGGTATGTATAAATGTTATGTTCGATATTTGAGTGCTGATTAAGGAGATGCTAGTTTTTTCTCATTTTTATTACTCCGTTCATGTCAAAATGATTCCTAAGTCTCTGAAGTTGGAGTGGATACATATCTACAAATATGTATGTTATTGACTATCTCACTAATTGCATGGTATTGCAAAATTGCTCCAGGAAAAGGTCAACCATATCCCTTCCATCAGAAAAAAGGAGACTGGTTGATCAACCTAAGTACTCCTAAATAGGGTTTAGTTCTCACTGATATGATAGTGGTTTCTACGGTGTTTACTGGTCATTGACATGACATTTTTTCTGAAAATTTCTGGTCCTATCTGTTCCTCATAATTGCTACCCATTTTAATTTTTGCTACTTCTCTTCATCAATTTTTTTTATTGCTACTTCTCCAACATGATTTTATGCTATAGGACCTTGCTGATATGAACAGAAATGTAAATAGATTAACTAAAAACACAATTTGAAGTTATAAATTAGAATATGAATTAGATTGTTATTTTTTGCTTACCATGGATAAATAAAAAGTTGTACCGGATTGTGCATGGCATTCAGTCTTGAACACTATCAGATACTTGTAAACATAGGAGAAAAGGAATTTTACTCTTCGGATATATTCAATTATGCAAATGTGTGGTTGATATCATTAGAGATACACTGGCTTCTTTTTTTGGCTCCTTTTCTTACCTTAGTAATTACTCCCTTTGTTTTAATTTGTTTGTCTTACTATCCTTTTTAGTCCGTTTCAAAAAGAATGCCGCATTCCTTTTTTGACAACTCTTTATTTCTAACTTTCCTCATGACATGTTTAAAACCACAAGATTATAGGACATTTTGGTACATTCTACATATCTTTACTTTAAGACCAAAAGATTCAAAGGTCTTCTTTACTTTCTTAAACTCCGTGTCAAGGAAAAACCAAACAATCACATTGAAACAGAGGGAGTATAGAGAAGGAAAAGCTTAGTAATTAACTATATGTATTGCTGATATATGGCAGTTAGAAGAACATGCATGTGATGTATGAAAATGTCTAATGTTAAAAGATAATCATCCAATGGTGCAAAGAAGTTTCAAAATATGTTTGTGTGACAAGTTCTTTCAAAGGAACTCATAGATGTGCCCACTTACCAGCTCATTCGCATCTTGTTAACCAAGTCTAGATTTTCATCAATTGCGGGGAAAGGATCTTATTTGCATGCAAAATTTGCAGGTATAGTGAATACTGCTTTTGTCCTAAATAATCCTCCAGCTGATGGCACAGAATGGGTGGAGTTGTTTGTGAGGGAAATGATGAGTGCTACAAGCACAGATGATGCTAGGGCTCGTGCGACAATAGTGTTGGAGAGCTTAGAGAAATCCATTAGTGCTAGTGCAAGTGCAGAAGCAGCTCAAAATTTTCAGAAGGTTGGTATTGTACATTTAAGTATATTGTAGTCTATAGATTTACCAGACAACAAATTCCCTGCTAAGGAGTTGTGGATGATATTTATCAAACATACTTTTCTGGTGTATTTACTATTTTTCTCAGAGGAGTTAAGCTAGAAAACTATTTTGGTGATGCCTATATTGTTGGCTCTTCAATGCATTTTATGAGCAGATTTCTGGCTACTGTAGTGCTTCCCTAGTAAGAGAACAGCAATTTTAGTCATGTTTGCAAAATTTACCTTTTTGACATACTAGTTTATTGACCTTTGCCTGTCATTCAATATTCACTATTTTCCAGGAAAATATGATGCTGAAGGAGCAAATAGAACTGATTCTTCGAGACAATATCATTCTGAAACGTTTAGTGGCCATCCAACATGAACGACAAAAGGAGCACAATGATGATAGGATCCAGGAAGTGCAGCAGCTGAAGCAGTTGATTGCTCAATATCAAGAGCAATTGAGAACTCTTGAGGTAAAAGCTGCAGCTCATATATTATTTTTATTGCATCAATGCACTAGATGGAGATGTGTTTTTAATTACAACAATAACAAGAGATCAGAATTATTTTGGTTTGCTGATATTAGTGCCATTAATGCAAGTCTTATTCAGAAGTCTTGCATCTGAGGACAAGCTTTTAAAGGATAATGTGGCAAAATTAAAGATTTAGAAAGATAAAGAAATATTTTATTAAGAGATGGGAGATGTAACTTTTGAAAGGTAAAGACTCCTACAGAAGGTATGTAGCACCTTGAGGAAACGCTAGCACATGGGCTAAGAAGAAAGATGGAAGCTAATCACAATGCTCTTAACATAAAATTTAGCACTGCTATTAGCAACATGAAACAACCATAGAAGAGAGTGTTCAACGTTCTTGCAACTAATGTTTAAATGCTAAACCTCTCTACTGAATGCCATTTGATCCTTGCATGGAGACACTTCAACATTTGCAATATCTTATTTCGAAAAAATGCTTAACCTTTGAACTACTGAATCTGAGTGCAGACTTCCTCTTTAGAAAACACTGGAGATTTTTTATTTTTATTTTTTTGGTTGAAAAATACTACTTTATCACTCAGGGTATTGCTTTGAGATTTTCGTTAATATAATAGTTATTACTCGTTACTCATTTGCTAGAGGACAATGGATAAAAGGTTTCGAGATAAACTTTGGATAATGCACTCTATTATTGTTTGGTGAAACATGTTTACATCAATTCAAACTAGTCTCCATGTAGTTTCCAATAAAAAAAATTGTGACACAACAAACTCAACTATTTGTATTAGCATTATTGTTGCTCGCATGAACTCAACTATTCTCCCCATCATAAGGAGACGTCTTCAGGTTCTAAGTGAGCGAGATACAAGTTACTCCAGTCTTTAACTTTACTGACTTCATGGTCATCTTTGCAGGTCAACAATTATTCTTTGAAAATGCATTTGCAGCAGACTCAGCAATGCAACTCTATCCCTGGACACTTTCATCCAGACGTCTTCTGATATTGAAATCTGTTCAAATAAGGAGATTGAGCCTAGAAAGAGATTAAGCCGGTTGGCGTTATGCGAGTGGTGGTATAGGATGTTCAAGTTAATTTGTATCATATCTGTTGGTCTCTGAATTATAGGTTATGTTGAGTTGAGCCCACTGGCGTTGATATTCTAACAAAGTATCATATGGGCCATTGATAGTATGGCCTAAAAAGGAGTTGTGTATCAAAGCTGTTTTTCAATTTCAGATGCATCACCTTTTTCCTGTGCAAAATCAATCAGTTCATGGCCTCTTCTTTATTAATAGCCTCAGTCCTAACTGTGATTTTACGCAATATTATAAGATACATTACTATGACTGTAAATTGTTCAACCAAACTTCGTGCTATTAGTTTTTATTAAACTTGCCAGGTTTTCAATCATCCAAAATCGGAGGTTGAATACTCAATCAATCCATACACGATCTATCTTAAGATACTGAAAAGATATTCGAATCCTAATTTCAGACTATCTACAAATGTAACTGATGGGACATTATTATATTATTGAGGTAGTTGCAATTAGACCAAAATTACAAATATAAATGGACCAAGTATTGATGGGTTTCTTTAATTAAATGTAAGCCTCCAAAAAATTGAACTATATTTGGTGGGGTGCGCCAGGCCCGTGCAATAGTGCAACGCATGGGCGACGCTTGAGAGCCCAGGTAGCAAGCTACCTTGATGGACACTCCCCTTAAAAAATTGAGTTAATATCGTGTGGACCAATGGCCCACATATCAGATATTAAACTGATAAGAACAGATACTACACTTGATCTTAGCCAAAAGGCCGAGAAAGGTATGCCTTCTACTTGACCCGGGCCTTCGTTTTTATACCAGTTCTTTGTTGTCTTCTTCTTAGCTTCTCCGATGTGGGACTAATTGGCCACAACAAAAGCTAAGCATTTTAGCTCTTCCAATTGTTAAATATAAACAAGTATAAATTTAGTTATATCTACCTTTTCCATGAGAGATATTTCATATCGGGCTCATGTAAAAGATGAAGTTTTAAATCTGAACGTTACTCGTAGTTAAGAGTTTAATCTATAATTAAGGAAAAAAAAGATCCTAAGAAGCTGTTGAAGAAGTCGAAGACAATTAAGATAATCATTACAAGTGTACATTCAGTGTGCCTACATACATATTTCACAGCTCTTCTTAAGAAGCTAAAGAGTGTTATGATCTTGCAAACTAACTCTGTTCAATATCTCCCCCAACGCTTCTAAGGTGAACTTGTATCGCTCATGTGATTTTCTCCCCTCCTCCACCAACTTCACAGCACACTTGTACAAATTATCATACCTGTGAACTGGATTCTTGGTGTCAATAAAATTGCAGCCGTAGTCAAGAACATAGCTACGGTCAATATCCTTTCTCCAGCGCGAAAGAATGTACTGTGGTGGGATCTCCTTGAAACCATTCTGACTTAGAACACATAATGTGTGCCTGCACAGGAAGCCCTCCAGGTTGAATAAACCACATCCACAAAGAACATCAGCAACATCTGTATTAAACGTAACCTCATAATCTTTTGCTTCATTCATATTCTCAACTTCACGTTCCTTAACAATGTATGTTATGATAGACCCATCAATACCTACTTGTCTTGTGCTTAAACATGAGAACATTCCCTCTATTTCAATTTGAAATTTAGCAAATATGTGATTGGTGTAGATTTTAGATAGCTGCATTTCAAAATAAAATCTTGATTTCAACATACAACTTGGATTCCTCGATTCTGAATCAGCCAGTGCTTCTCTTTGGTAGATTTCCTTCAGACATTGGTTATAGCCGTCAAGGAACTCTTTCAGGGGAGTATGATTAGACAAATACTCATCAAAAGGAGAAGAAACCTCTCTCTCCCGGAGTGTCACACCAAACATCCCCGCTAGAAATGTATCCTTTAAATAGACAGGGACCCAGTGTTTACGATTTTCGTGGAGTGTCTGGAGCCATTTATGGTCCCTAATTCCATGGCATAGCATCATGTCCTCCCAAGCTGTTTCAAAATCATCTATTCTTGATGATTGGTAAATTGCTTTAGTAAATGCTTTCTTGATGACTTCATATGCATGTAACCCACCCAATTCCTCCGGAACTTTCTTCATGATATGCGACAATGAAATGCAATGAGATGCCCGCGGGAGAACATCAGCTATAGCAGTTTGCATAGATCTAGATTGGTCAATAATGATGGTCTGTGGAGGGCGGCTAACCATGTATGTCAGCCATGCCCTCAACAACCATATAAATGACTCTACAGTCTCTCCTGCAACCAAACCACAGCCTAGTGGCACAGATTGTCCATGGTGGTTAACTCCAGCAAATACCACAAGTGGAACCTCATATTTTGAGATCAAACAAGCAGTGTCAATTCTAACCACGTCACCAAAATAACCATATGCGGCCTTACATTTTGCTTCTGCCCAGAACACATTCCGCAGACATCCTTTCTCATTTAGGTCCATTACATAAAAGAAATCAGGGTTTACCAACTGTAGATCAGTGAAGAAACTGAGAATTGCTTGAGCATCTCCAGGTTTAAGAATCAAATGGTTGTTTGACTGGTCAATCATGTTCCTGAATTCACCTTCATCAATGTTTAATTTTCCATCATCATCTGGATCAATAATGACAGTTCTGAATAACCTAATTTTCTGATTTTCTTGATTACCAGTCATCTGCAAGGGCCTTTTACTCCCAGAACTGTTGTTTCTGTGAGATTTATAGAACTTTTCAGTTAACGGATGAATGAGGTGGTTGTGTTCAAGTTCAACTTCAATTATTCTCCATCTTTTGTTCTCCATCAATCTGAACTTGATCATAGCTGGACAGCCAGTTCTTGTCTCAGGTCTGGGCCGATTTGCTTCACTTTTCTTTTTAAATCCTGCACTGCTGCAGCTTAGTTTTCCTCTATACCTTTCCCTACTCTTCCTATACCATGTATTACTCACTCTGACCCCGAATCCGTGCGCTTTAGCATAACAGTTGTAAAAGTAGTACACATCCTCATATGTCTCGAACTCCATTCCAACAGTCGGAGGAACAGGATTTTCGCCTTCAAGAACACCAGACTGACCAGCGTACTCCGTCATCGCACACTCTCCATCAATATCAAGTTCCTCAGTTTCATCATCAAAGATGGCAGCATTGAGTGAAAGACCATCCATTTGGAGTGTTGCAGAAGCATCGACGTCAAGCTCTGTAATATATTAAGAAGAGGATAGGTCAAAGGTGGTCAAAACAACCCCTAGAGTGGAAGGTGGGAGAAGAAGAAAAAAGTGAAACATAGAGCAAAAACATCAATTATAGATAATGATGTCAATAAGGAAAAAACTCCAGATGTATTTCTCCCCCAACTGTGGATCTAATGACAGGCTTAGTGCTATTTGGAATATAGTTAGTATATAATATTGTGAGGTATCTTTCAATCCAGGAAATAAGCGTGTTTTTCTGTGGGAGTTCTCCTATACAAGACTTTGAGTTGTATTTTACAATATCAGAAACTCTGCTTACACTGGTCTAGCTTTCAACTTCAATATTGGCCTGAAGTATGAGAAAGCCATAAGGTTGTAAAAAAGAAGAGTATATAGCTGCCATTTATCCATTTCAGCATTATATTTACTTCTTAGTTTATCTGTAGGAATAGTTCCTTTGTTTCTACCTTTCGGTACACAGGCAAACACCTGAAGAAAAAAAGTTCATCTAGCAGGAAAAGAATTGATTAACGATTAATATTGCTATTATGTAGGCTAATTTTTCAACTTATAAGCAATAATTTTCATTCAAGAAAAATAAATGTCTAAGGGAAAAGATCAATTTGACTTCTTCTTTACTTTCACAGTTAGAAGAAACAGCTGCATAACTAGAGAACTAAAGATAGAACCACTCAATCGACCAACATGAAAATGAGATAGGCCACAGCATACTATCATTGAGTTGTCCGTGTTGCTGACATACATAAACGTAAAACTCATCTGCCAGCATGATCTTCTTAATATCACGTCCATTAGAGCATTGTTTTTATTTTCTTTTTGGCCCTAATATTATTAGTTAAATTTTGAAAATGAACTGTGTCTTTCCATGGCAAGTTCACAATATAGGACTCCAACTCACTATTACTCAAGTACTTTCATCTCTAAGTTTACTCCTTTGCATGCTCATCTTCTTCCGCACTGGGATATATGCGCATCTATCATCCAAGTATAAAATGCCTTGCTTTTGGTTCTTCGTTTTATGCCCTGTGTACATTCCTTTGTGGGCACAGTCGAGGGTGGGAAGGTGGGGAGTTTAAGCTTTACGTGAATGTTTATCTCATTGACAGTATAGTAGCTTACAATAACAATTCGACATATTTCAACTCCAAACTCCTATGAGTCAGTAATGAGGGTGAAAAAGAAAATAGGCAACCAAACAAGGCAATAATGTTTATTTAAGTTCTTTCTCATCCTGTTTCTATATGCAAGAAGCATCAGAGTATTTACTGTTGTAGATACAAGCACTTGTCTTACCCATAGTTAAATGTATCTTTAGGCAACCACATACTACTGGTTCTATTGTGAGCAATAATTTATTCGAAATCTAATTTACCTCCAGCCCTACCCAAAAGATAAAAACAGTTCTTAGGATCTGTCTCAGTATAAAAAGTACTTGATAACCTTTATAAGTTGAGTCTTCTCAATAAAGGAAATAAACAGGCTATTTTAGCATCGTGCTGATAAAGAAACTACACAGACTTTGAACAATTGATCTAAATAGACAAGAATTGAACAGCGCTACAAAACCATATTCCTAGTCAAGAACTAAAAAGAGAATATCAACATCCTTGGGCAGAAAAAAAAGGTTCAAATTTGAAAAATGAACTTCAGATAATAACAGAAAAAAACAACTGTCTTCTCAAATTACCTATGACTACAACAAAATACCCAGTGTAGTTCCACAAAGTGGAGGGCTGAGGAGGTTAGTATGTACGCAAACCTGACGTTTGCTTCAGAGGTAGAGCTGTTATTTCCGATATACCCTCAGCTCAAAATTAACTATGACTATAAGCTAAAAATACACCGCAATGAAAACGTCAAGCACACTAATGCTACCAAAGAAATAATCATAGGAAGTTTAATTTATAGTTAGTACTTAAATATACATTATATTTCTGAATGGAAAACTGGGAGTAGACATTTTTACAGATGAAAATTTCGGAGATAAAGCTCACTAAAAGCGCCCTATACTATCTGAGCACAGATCAGAAATTTCATATCAAAATTACAATAGCTAACAGTTAAGGTCAATTGGGTATGTACAGACTAATATAGAGATCAATTCTTGGAGTGAGAAGTGAAGGGTTGAGAGACAACAAGGAGGAACTAAAGAATTGCTAGTTTGTTGAGAACTTTGAACAAATTAACCTGCAATTTCAGATAAAAACTTCCCACCTGAGCCACTGGCGGACGTTTGTCTTTCAGCAAAAAATGGCGATAGTTGATTTTAAGCTTCTAAGCTGCCACCTGCAGGCTAAAAAGGAAACAAAGAACAATATTTTATACAGGAGTATTTTCGAATAGTATTACTAATTTTAAGGGCAAACTATGAAAGAAAAAAAAAATTAGTTCTCTTTTAATTTTGTAAATTAAAAGCAAATAATTTAAAATAACTATTTTTCGTAATGTGGACAACTAATATGAGGTGGACGGAGTATTTATTTAATGGGGATGGTGGTTGCAAAAACAAATGATTTGAAATGACAATTTTTAGTAATATGGACAACTAATATGAGGCGGACAGAGTAGTGGTTGTTTTTGGTGGTTAAGAGTGAAAATAATTTTAGAAAAATGTCTATATTGAAGTACTTAGTAATCAATCGATGGTGTTTGAACTCATTAATTATTTACTATATTCAAATAGAATTTCAACAATGTTTCTTTGCAAAGTTGCAAATCTATATTGTAATGAGAGTCATTTGTTGCAACTGATGTTTTATCATACAGAAAAGGAAAAAAAAATTGTGAAGTGTATAAGGGTTTTGGATAACATTTGTATTGTTTCTGTTTAAAACTTGTCTTGAGTTTATTTAGTTGCTGAAAGCATGAAATAAAAAAACTCGAACTTTCTCAGGCTTTTAAATTCAGTAATGCACTCACTATACATAATGATGTGTGGACAATTATTGATAAATTATAGTACAAAAAAAAAGTTCAGAAGCTACACAAATTGTTAAACCTCAACTCAGTTCTATGATACACGTTTGTCCGCTGCAAGACGAACCTTATTCAAGGACTCCTTAAACGCCTGCCAAGCAACCATATAGTGATCTTGAGAAGCCATCCCTTCGTCAACTACTTGCATGGCACGTCTGTGCAAATGATCAAACAGTTGAACAGGGTTACTAATATCTATGTTGCTTGAGCCAAGTTCTGGTGCATACAAGCGTTTAAAATCCTTTCTCCAGCGAGTCAATAAATAATGATTTGGGATTTCCTCTATACCATTGTAGTTGAGCACAGATAAGGCATGTCTGCAGAGATAGCCTTTGAAGTTGAAACAACTGCACATACATCGAACTTCTACCCCTATTTTATCATAAGTAACTTCAACATCTCTTGCATCACTCGTGTCTCCTTGAACCCCTCGTTCTTTAACCATATATGTTACGATGGGTCCATTGGCGTGAATTTGTGCTATACCTGAACAATTAGACATCAACGACATCTCCTCTTGGAACTTCAAAAATATTTCTTTAGTATACAATTTGGAGAGCTGTAACTCATAATTGCACCTTGTTCTCAAGACGGGGCTAAATTCTTTTGAATCAAGATCACAAAGAACTTCCTTCTGATGATTCTTTTGCAGTACAAAATCATATATGTCAAAAAATTCTCTCAAATTTGTTTGTTTATGTACAAATCCATCAAAGAAGGGACACATAAACTCACCACGCTGATCAATAGATATTCCAGCCAGAAATGTATCTTTCATATAAATAGGAGCCCATCGTTCTCGATCCTCATACAAACTTTGAAACCACCCATAGCCCCTACATCCAAATTGCTGTGCCATCTCCTCCCATGCAACTTCAAATTCATCAATTTTAAGAGAGCTATACACCGTATTATACAGTACCTCATGGAATACTTCTGATTCCCCCACTTCCCCTACTGAATTGACAATGCTGTCCAAAATAATTGACAAATTAAGCCTATGGTGAGCCCGAGGAAAGACCTCAGATATTGCATTTTGCAAGGCTTTGCACCGATCTGTGATGATAGTTTGTGGAGGGCGTCCTGACATACATGATAGCCATGCTCTCAGTAACCAAACATATGTCTCAAAACTTTCATCAGCAAGCAAACTACAGCCCAACAAAAGAGTCTCCTTATGGTGGTTTAGTCCAAAGAATGCTAGAAGCGGGATGTCATATTTTTTTGACAAGCATGTTGTGTCGACCACAACCACATCACCAAAACAAGCATATGCCGCTCTGGATCTGGAATCAATCCAAAACACATTCTTTAGATACCCTTCATCATTAAAATCCATAATGTAGAAAAAGTTTGGCTTCGTAAGCTGCACCCGACAGAAGAAGTTGTATATGACTTGGGTATCACCTTCTTTGAGTTTTAAACGTGTGGACCCATCAATCTGGCTGCTGACTGCTCTTTCATCTGAGCTTCCCTCGCCTGGTGTCTCAACAGCAGGAGTTCTGTACAACTTAATTGTTCGCACTTCCACATCAACTGCTGGCTCTAACTTCCTTTTAACCCTTGCATCCATCTTTTTGTGTGACTTGGAGTTTTGCACCCTTTCAGGATCAAAAAGATGGTTATGTTCAAGCTTAACCTCATCCACCCTCCATCTATTGGACTCCACCAATCTCAACCTTACCATCGCTAAGCAACCTGTCCTTGTTTCTTTTCTTCGGCTATTTGCTTCTTTCATTGTCTTGAAACCCTCACAATTGCAACAGAGAACAGCACCACGCTTCTCTTTACTGTTGCGTTTTGTCCATGAAGACTTCACCCTGATGGCAAAACCAAGCTCCTTAGCACAGCAGTTGTAATAATTATAAGCATCCTCGTAAGATTCAAATTCCATGCCGACAACCGGAGGGGGATAAGACTTTCCCAGGGATGAACCAGTGTGACCATCAATAATTGCTGTATCGCCACATCTTGGATCCTCAAGACCATTGCTATGAAACTCAGGTAACTGATGACTATTGTCCCTTGGGGCACCGCTTTCAAAATTAAGCACATGCTCACAGTTTTTCTCAGCTTCATGGCTTTCAAACTCAAGAATTTGCCCAGCAGTAGTTCCAAGCTCATTGGCCTCAATGTTTAGCACTTGGTCACCATCACTCTCAATGCCATTGCATGTAATATCAAAGACTTCCTGACTGGCAGCCTCATTATCACTTCCCTCATCCCCAGGAAGTTGTTCACTGGTTCCCAAACCTTCCTCCATATGAAGCCTTCCAGTAGGGCAAGATGAATGGGAAAAGGTCAGCAACAATGAGATACATGTATCAAGAACTCTATCCAGCTTTTCACGTGGAACAGATCTGTTCCTTTGACTTGAAATCTAGAACTTTGCATTTCAATGAGTCTCGATTCTTTCTTCATAACATCTAGAAGTCATGGGAGAAGCTAAGAACTTACACTTCTCATAGTATCCTTCTTTCTGGTGAAGCATAGTCTAGCTAGGAAAGTCACTGTTGTGTCTCCTGCTTTCCCAAACCACCATACCTATTCTATCCCTAAGCAGGAATTACCTGTCGAGAAAATGAAAAATAAATAAATAAAGACAAGTATTCGTGATCAGATCAGTTCGACAAATCCAGCTAACAAAACAAAGGTGCCCATCTAACTCAGTACATGTCAAAAGGAATTTTGTCGAAAGTCAGAAAGTAATAAAGCGAGAAGAAGAAGATAAGATGTTCAAGTGTCAGGTATATGTCACCATTTGGTTTAAGCAAGTAAGAACCCATGTAAGGCACCCTACCATCTTTATGTCTGTATATTACCTATTGAAAATACATACATTAAATTAGCCAATGCCAAAATTGTTTGTTATCTTAGATAGTAAATGCAAATAAAACTATGAACACCAAATCAACAGTAAAGAGATTACAATGCTGTAATTTTAGAAGTACATACATGGTAAACCTTGAAACTCTGGATTTTATTCAACAAATAATCTTATACTGTGGCTTGATAGGTATATGCTCATAAATTCCTCCTTATTTATTGCAAACCAAAATAGTAAAGCAAGACGAGTTAATTTACTGGCTCTATTAGTCACTGCTAAGTTAATAACTTTACACAATATAGACCTTAAGGGCCTATTCATTTGTAGAACCTGATTAAGCATGTTTCAACTTCCTCCCTAAATGCTCAATAAGGCAACTACAGGTCAGGGACTAAGGACAAAAAAAATGTGTCTTGAAATCCATTTAGTGACAGTTGAGAGGACAAATGGCAGGATCATAAGTCCAGTAAACCTACTCACATGCTCAATTCCAAATGAGGATGAGATGAGATTTTTATCGACACGATTATGCTCTTATTATCCCCGAATCAATATGAGAAAAGGCCACTCATCCAACTCATACACACGATTCAAGTAAATAAGAGCTTCAATATCCCAATGAGTAATGCTAAACTAAAAAAAAAAAAACTTTCTTCTCTTTTCCTGATCGAAATTTTACCCAGCAGATTTAACGAGTCCTATTTAGTTTCTATAAAAGCTGATTCTTTATTAATAGGTTTCATCTCAGAAGTACAGTCAACCATAATCGTAGAGACAAAGACTACCAAATTTTGTTATTCAATAACGACAATAACCAGAAAATCCAAATGAAACTAAAATCTTACAAACAGAATCAAACAAGAGCAAAAAAATAAAATAAAAACAGAAAACAAATATAATGAACTGATTGACATCGGTGCACTGAAAATTGGAGAAGATAGACTGTGGAACAAGATATTCCACTGTCTTTGGACTCACCTTTCATCTAGATAGAGTGGAAAAACTCGCCGGAGAAAAAGACCAATAACGCCGGTGGAGAACCCAATTGGCAGCGACAGCAAGCGGCGATAGACTGATGCAGCCTTTCAAACGCCTGGAATGATTAAACCCAGACTAGTTTTTTCTTTTGGCGAAATTAAAGCCAGAGTTAGGGGCAAAATTGTCACTTCACGATTTTTTTTTCAAATTACTATAATTGAATAATTAGTGATAACTAATTTCAAAGAAGGAGCAAAAACAGACTTTAAAATAAATTAATATATTATATCCACCCACATGGTATATATCACGTCCCGTTCGAGAATCAGAATTCACAAGAGATCGAAGAGTGTATTTTTTAAACGTCCTTGATACAGTAATATTTTACGTAATATTTATACTTTTTTCCTTCAAACTTAAATCTGATCACAATTAAATTCAACTCAAATTGCAAAATAAATTCATCCCAAAAAGTAAATAATG